CCTCATACCTGGAACAGATGCAGGAATAAAGGGGAACTGAAGTGGCAGCTAAACCACTGCCCTCATCAGCACCCTTAACATCTTAATAATAAGATCAGCACATTTAAGTAGTAATATTAAAAACCAATGTAAGCACCCACACCCCCTGAAAATGTGTTTTGAGCATTCAACAAAAAAATAAATCTTTATGGTATTTAGAGGTCAAATATGTTTGTGCTCTTTGAGGAATTATGAGAGAGGACGATTCTTCAAGCCCTGCTTCAGATTCTCAGGTTGACGAAACGATTCAAACAACAGATGTTTTTATGTATTGGCCTGTTCTACATAGCACAATTTATCTTCTCACTGGTTTTAACAAGCTTTCTTATTATTTCTGTTAAAGCTACAGTGTGTAATTTTCAGCGACGTGTCAAGGTCAGACTGCGGACGGAAGCAGAATGAATTCCCCCACCTCTTCTTCCCTTCCAACAAACAATTCAGAGGCCTTCATGATACAAAATGGCTTCCACAACATCTGCATATCCTTTCATGTCAAGTGATGACGTTTGTTTTCATTACAGATCCACACATCAGAACTTTGGGAATCGATTACCAAAATCACTATCTGCTGATCACCGATTTCTGTAATACTGTGTTCTCATGTACATTACCACTGTATTAATAAGTATAAAAATGAGGAGATAAAAAAGTATTATGAATTGACCAGTGTTTTAATGAAGAGGCAGCGAAGACAAGCTTTTATTTTTATTAAAATGGAAGGAGGAGGAGATAATGTTGACAAAGAAAGAATCAGAGAATGCTCTAAGGAGGCGCTTGAGTGGCTTTTCAAAAAGTTGTTTTAATTAAGCCTTAGAAGGACTGTTCGTCTTCCTAGAACCAATGTTCTTGCAATGATTTCCCGCTGCTGCATGGACCAAGCACAGGAAAAATGTATTTACATAGATAACTATATAATAATTATTTTATTAGCACATAGATTTTAAATAGGCCTAACTTGCTGCAGTCACATTTGAGGGTAATGCCAATTTCTATATTTACTTCTTTGATAGCTCTGCGCTGCCTTAGCATAAATATGTCTACCTCCATACAACTGTGACCTCCTCCTATGCAGTTATAGTGATTTCTAAGGCAAAGTTAACATAAATATTGAGACTTTTAGTCCACAGATAACATATATACACTACATTTCTGTCAGTAAATCCCTGAAATTATTACACACTAGCTTGAAAACACTGCGTTACCAGAACATGATGCTCCCACCCTCATGTTTTATTTTGAGGACATTGTTTTGTAAGTAATATGCAATGAAGCGGCCATTAGGTCCTCAGAGGTTTTGTGCCAAAAGTAATGCTTGATTTATTTCATTTTTTAGATTTGGATGGTGTGGACATAAACCCAAGACAAAATTTCCTTTGAGTGTGAAACTGTAAAAAAAAAAAAAATTCAAATCAATTTATTGACATTTATGAAATTATCTTTTTTATTCTTATATTTTTGCAGTTTTGAACTTAACTTTTTAAAGCTAAAATTTGAATTTAACTGCTGTATTGCTTAAAGTTCTGCTTTTGAACAAGGGTTCTTCCAGATACTGTTCAGATATAACATCCTTTCAAATAGAAAATATTGATCAAACACCATGAAAGCATACATTATTATGCTGAAGATATGCCCAGGTTACTTTCTCGATTATTTGAATTATACGAAATTATATTGAATTATATATAAAATTATACTTCTTTTTAAATTCATATTCTAAACTGAAGGAAGCACTTATGTTCTCTTGCTCATTCGAAAATCACGGATACATAAATGTATTGCTGTAATGTGACAAAATGTGAAAAAGAAAAATATATATATATAAAAAATAAAAAAAATCCTAGTAATATTTCCCTCCATTTCAAAACAGTTGTCAGTGTCCACCATGTAACTAAGGGACTGGTGGTCATCTGGAGGTTACAGGAGCTGCAGTGGAACGAAACAGAAGCTGTTGCTCTATTAGCACTCCAATAGTCTTGGGTGTCTCTGAGAATAATCGCTGTGCCCATCGCTCCGTTTGTGCGGGCATGTGTCTGTGTGGCCAGGCGTGTGTTAGGGAGTGTCTGGTTTCTAATGATGGTCATCCATAATTGAGTTTGGCCTCACAGCGTGGGGTGGGGTGGCATTTAACTGGGCTTCAGCTGCTCTCTGGGACAGCGTGTATGTGTCAGGGGGGGTCAGCGGCGCACAAAACGTCCAGCAAGACTGGACAGTAACTCGAGCCCAGGGCTGTTTTATAGATGCCACGTCTGATTAACTGTCAGTTCAGGATCAACACCAGCTAATTCATTAAAGGACGTCCTGTCCAGTTTGGGACACAGGCTGCTAAAGCTCAGCGCATGACTGCTCAAAGCACTCAACAGGCTAAAGTCCAAAACAAAAACAAGCTGTCAGTCAACGAGGATGTTTATTGTCCTTTATTCTACCAAGTTTTTAAATTTATCATCTGCATCAGATGCAGGCTGGAATTAAATGGATGTAAACAGAAATCCCAGGGCAGGATTCAGTACAACAAGGTACCTTGAAAGAAGAGTATGATCTACTGCAAACATGGACTCAACCAAGGATTTCAGTCTAGGCTTTGACTAGGCCATTCTAACACAAATTATTTTCCCTCCACATTAATTTCAATAAGTTTTAAACTGCTTGAATTATCTTTTCCCACACATTTAAGGTGTCCTTAACATGACCTGTAGCACAAGAGATTTTTATCTTGTTTTTCTTGCTACTCTCCCATGTTAACAGATTACCGGGATGAACTTCATGCATTTTTTATGCAGTCTTCTCTAAAACCCCCCATCCTCGCTCAGCCTGTGAGTTTAGTTGGACCTCCACGCTTGGTTTGGTTTGCAGTTGTGCCATACTCCTATTTTTGGATGATGGACTGAACAGTCCTCTTAGATATGGACACTGGTTTATAACTTAACCTCCATCTTTAAAACTCTCCACAGCTTTCTCTCTGACCAAACTGCCATGCTCCTTGGTCTTCATGATGCTCTTTGTTCAGTAATGCTTAATAGAGGTGTTAATAGAGTAGCTGAATTTCTGCTGAGGTTGAACTTAAAGAAGGTGGACTGAATACATTTGTGTTTCATAAATTAGAGTCAGAGCATCCTGCAGTATTAGCATATTCTCTGAAAATTAAGTTATTTACATACCCAATGCACAAAGGAACTTCCCAGATTAAATAGAAGGGTTGGGTGACTATATAAGACATTAATTATAGATAATCTTCAACTTTTCTCACGATTATTCAGGTAAGTCCAACTATTTGAAGCCTATTTACCGCTACATCAACCTTCCTCTGTTGACCTTTCATATCTTCCCAGTGAGACTGATTTAAAGCTTTCTATGTGTGCTAATGAGGTAAACGAATAATAAAAAGATAGGAATAAGCCATTGGTGCCAGACAAGCTTGCAGGCACAAATATCTATCAATTTCTAACAAAGTCAGTTAAAGAGAGCTGGGCTGCATGAGTCAGAGGTGTTAAGTTCAGCACATGCTTTTCATACTGTAAAAAAAAGCCAAATGCTGCTTTATCTGTGAAGCTCGTTCAGGGGAAAAACTGTGCTGAAAGGATTTTTATGGCTTCCACTTTAATAAGTGCACAGCTTTAGGAAGCAGAAAGCAGGCAGAAGTCTGCTGATCTGAGACGCCACCTCCTGGATGTTCTCCAAAGCGCAGATTTTTGTTTTCTGCTTCTTTTATTTGTTTTACCCTATAAATTCTAAGTTTATTACTAGTTAATGTAATACATCATGAATAAGAACAGAAGCAAAGCAGCTTGAGAGCATTGTTTGAATGTAGCCATATGTAAGGATTCGTGTACAGAGGGATTAAAAGTATGTTATTCAAATGTTAATTTGGCACTATTATGGCATTCAAAGGTTTCACATGTTAAGATATACATTTTGCACGTTTTTTTAAATCAGCAAGAGCTACAATGGAGGAAGGGTGAATTGCTTTAAAGAGTTTGTGCACCAACAGGCACCAAGACTGTGCCCTAATGAAGACTATAATGGCTTAATGTACCGCCAGTGCAGAGCTGCTAAATATTTAACTTTATTGAGAAACACAGAAAAGCAAAGACTGGTATAAAAGTATACCTTAAAAAATAAACTAAAGATCTGCAGGATTATTAGTGGATATTAGCAGAGTACGAGTCTAAAACCTAAAAAAGTGAATTATTTTTGTTTAATCCAACGTGCTGGGCTTGCTTTTGATTCAAGGAACTTTTTTTTTTAACTGTCCAAGCAGGCTGTAATTAAAAAGCTGGATCAAAATGTCTTCCATGAGCTACTTGCATTATAGGACACTACGTCATAAGGGAAAAAACTATAAAAATTACGAAATTATTATAAAAATGCCTCATAGATCTGAACAATGATGTCAGGAAACCTGTATTAAAACCACAGACCAGTTCTTAGTAAATGAATGAAACTGATTCATTCATTGATCCCAATTTGCTAAAAAGAAAAAAACTGTTAAGTTATTAAATTACTCCAGCTGTTCCCGTTTCTCCTAAAAATACATACATGTAAAAAAAAAACAATTTGTGACACTATAAGACCTTTTGGACATGTTAATTTTAATCTCCTACATACCTTAGAAAACAACCAGCCTGGAGCCTGATCTTATACTGAGACCAAACCTTTATCAGGACATAAAGCTGCAGACTGAGGGATCCAAAGCTTATAATCGGGTGCCAAAATAAAAAACCTTTTTCTTTTAGTGAAGCTATTTAAGATTTTTTTTCATAATAATGTTAAATAAAACATGCCTTAAAAATACTCATCTAAAATTGAAATAAAACAATATAGATCTACTGCTGGAATAGTTTCTCATGAGGTTGGTAAATAGTTCACTGCAGCTCTCTGCTGCCCACATGTGGAGACTAAAGGTAAAACGAGCGGTATAGGGTACATCAACTTCTGAGAAAAGATTCAATTTGTTTCGGTTTGTTTTTTTTTTTTTTTAAAGAAAATTAGCTTTATTTGTGTAGGAGCGCTCCCTATCTTCACCATTAAATACGACAACACAGAAAAAAACCCACCATGATGCTCTAGAGTGGTTTCCAGAGCTGCAGGACACAACAGCTTAGCTGTTTTTTAGACAGAGAAGCCCAGTGAGGAGTTTCTTTATAAAACAGAAAAATTATTATCATTAGATCGTTAAGGAGCCAGGACTGTCAGCAGCATGAAAACTCATTCTCTTGGTTTTATTAAATGGCACAGTTGTTCTCTCCCAGGTTATACCTGATGTACAAATCCCTTACTGCATCCAGCAGTGCTTGTAGTGTTCACAAGGCAGGACGTTCCATCTACAAGTACTCAGTCTTTTGACAGAAAATCCCACTGGAAAACAAAATGGATTTGATCCAAACAGACCTTAACGAGGCAAAAATGAAACAAACAAACCACAGAGACAGTGTAAGTGCTGTAGACAGCTTTGTAGATTGCAGTGCTGATTGGCATGGTGTCCCAACTCACAGGAGAAATCTGCCTACCGTTTAAACACTTGGTTTAAAAATGAAGTTAAATAATAAAACAGTATTTACACAGACATTCAAACATACAGCGTATACAGTCATACTTCGCAAACAGATCTGTACACATGGAGCTGTACAAAGCGGACAGTGCATATACCCATTAGAAATCACAGCCTTTAACACATAACAACAATCATCAGTGTCCACACAGATGGGCTTTGTGAAAGGAGCTATTACAATGCAGCCACTACAGCACCTCAGTAAACCACAATGAGCCACTTAACAGATCGTAACTCACGTTAGGAAAAATGTGCAGCGTTGCTTAGTAACCATTCGTTCATCTGCAAAACATGAGACAAATGCGTCTCCTATTCGTTTCAGATGGAGCTTTGAACTAAACAGGACCTCATTTTACCGCTTGGGGAAGGCTGAAAGAAAAACAGCGTCTTCAAACTAAACTAAAGCTTTTTAAAACTAAAACATTTTTTGTTACAAACTAACAGTTTAAAGTTGTTCCTAAGAGGTCGAAAATGACTGGATTTTTTTTTCCATTTGTAATAAGCCTCTCCCCTACTGATTGCTGCACACTGCTGGTCAGCTGGCTGAATGGAATAATAAAAACGACACTCATTGTGTGGGAACAAAGTGCGCCACCTTCACTGAATAAGGTTAGCGTGGTTTACAAGTTCAGATGGGAAGCTATGAGTGACGTGGCAGTTTAACAGCCAGTTAAAGGCCTTTTTCCCCCAACCATTAACCAGAAATAGCAGATTGTTATTCCCTAAAATAAAAACAAAAACTAAATGGAAACTAGGGATAGAATTTTGTGAAGTAAGCACCTAAAAACAAGCTTTAAATCTGTTTCTTGTTTTAGACAAAAACATGTAAAATATGTTTTTGTTTTATAGCTTACCATCAAAATAAAATATTACTCCCTCTAGGCTATAATGACATTCCTTTCTCCATGGTTTAAAACAAGATGTTTAACATGATCACATTTTTATTCTTTAAAGCAAAAAGGACATCCATATGCATTCCCTTTGCTGCTTAAATAATGCAATTTATGGATAATTAAGAGTGAAAACAATAACATCTTATTAATTTGTTTTTATATGGGATGTTGATACAGATTGAATACAGAAATGTTTAATTAAAACATCTGATAAGGTAGGAGTGGTTTCAGGTGCCTATTTCACCAAACATCCCTTTTATTATAAAGAAAGAGATAAAAGCAGCCTGATTATTCAGGCTTTCTGTTCAGGTAGCACTTTCCAAATAGTCAAAATTTGGAGCAACAAGTGTAGGATCTTTAAGGCTGCTTGCCAGCAGTGCACAGCAACAGGTAGGGGAGGGTCAAAGCCATATTACTCTAATAAAAACCTGGAGAACATGTATCATTCCAGGACTTTCCTGACTTCATTTGAAACTTGTTCTCAGTCTTCATTCAGTGCTTTGTAAATATTCTGACTTTGTTTATAACTGATCCTGACAGACACATCGACTGGAGCGTCTTTAGTTCTGAGCAAGGATCTGTCTCAACGAACCTAAACCGTCCTAAATGAACACCTTCCAAATCTGAGACAACAGACGGAAAAAATGCAACCAGACAAGATCTACGCCGGACCGTAGAAAACGAGCGAGGTAACGTCTGCGTGACGGCAAGCAGCGTGAAGTTTTTGCGCTGTTCTGTGCGGAGGCTTGGTCCCTCAGAGTGAGTCCGCTCCACTGGCGGTTTTTGGACGCACTCTTCATTCAAGCGCTGCGCAACATAACAACTAACGCTGACACAAATATAAGTAAAAAAAAAAAAAAAAAATCAAACCAAAAGAACGAATCAGCATGAAAACCACGACACCTCAGAGGGAAAGGGGAGAGCTGGTACCCGGATAGAACAAAGGAAGGTTAGTAAAACCTGATTGGTTTATCCCAGTTAGTAAATAATAAAATCTGCTGTAACCACAGAGCCTCATGGAGAATTAATTAGAGTGAAAGGTCTATAATATTTTACAGGAGGAAATCCTCGTTTGAGCTTCTTTACTCAATTTTTACAAACCCCAAACAATGGTCTTAATATATATATATATATATATATGTATATGTATATACACAAGAAGTTATTAACAATTATCACTGATGGAAGATTAAAAAAAAAAAAATTTAATTCTGGACAAAACTAGAACCGTAGGAATCCAATGTTCTGTTTCCAGGTTTGATCGACATCACTCCTTCAGACGGGTCACCTGAAAAGGCTCCCCCTCAGGGCACTGCTCTACATCCATAATACTATGTGGGTTCTCTGTATTTAGAGACAGCTTACCAGTATTATCTTCATTTTCAATGTGCAAACCTGATGGAGCAGGCTGTACGGAGTTTAAGATGTTGATTCAGGACTGAGGTTAAAATTAGCTTCAGTTTGATTATTGAGGTTAGAATAATGAGGTCCTGAATGCTCTGGGTGATGAGGGCCTCCGTGGAGTGTGTCTTCTCACTGCTCAGGTCCTCACCATCGAAGCACATTTCCGTAGGAAACAATAGCACCTCATTGGCTCAAGTCAGCCAATCAGCAGTGAAGGAAGCCTGAGGCCCCGGGGCCAACCCCGTTGTTGTGAACAGAGTCTGATTAGTTGCTTTGGGAATGTGTATTTGTGAGGAGGGCCACTGTCTGTTCACTCGAAGCGTCATTGTGGAGGGAGGGAGGGAGGGAGGGAGGTGGGGGGGTTTTAGGGTGAGGGTGAAGTGTCGAACAGAGGAGCAGTTTAAACCTCTGCTGCTGTCAGGCCGATTCGTTCCTCCTCCTGTCAGTCTCGGTTGGGCTTCTTCAGCGAGAAGGCAAAGATGTTGAAATGATCACTGAGCTGCTGCACCTGGCAACAAAAAACAACAACAAAAACAAATCTATTTCTAATTCCAGATATGATTTCATGATGACTTTAACAGGGATGGACAGAGGTCTGCTAACAACCAGTGAGATACAGGCTGTTTTTCAAGCCTTCTGCTCAAATTTGTCCTATTTCTATTGGTTTCCATTTAATAAAACTCCAAAAACCTCCTGGCATATTTTTACAGAGTAAAAAGTTATTTACTATCAAAAATAAAGATTATTCTTGTAAAGTTGTATGGAAGCAGCCGTTCCAACCGTTGCACTTCCGAATTCTCCTGAGTGGAGACACAAGTGAGAAAAAGTGAATGCGACTGGTCATTTATCAAGGGGGCGGGATTGTTATGGCTGAAGGTTCGCAAACAAGTTTGATTGCAGCCGGTAAATCGGAAGGATCTTGCTAACCAGTTAGCAACTTAGTGCTAGTAGGTTCCCAATGGGAAATTACATTGGGACCAAGTAGCACTTAGAAACGACACTGTCAAGGAACGCTATGGACAGCGGGGACATGCAAGAGGAGGAGAGTTTTGTGTCAGAGGTCGTCGATGAGTCTCCTTCATCAAACAGTTATTATTTAGAGGAGGAAAGCGGGGACAAAGATGTTGTGGAAAAGGACGCCAGGGCTGCAGAAGCTTGGTTTGGTGTAGAAGGCTTACAGCCGTACATGTTTGAGCCCTTGCCTCGCAACGCTGCCAGTTCTGTTAAAATTACGGCTGCTGAAGACAAAGACGTCCATCCCCGTGAAAACTGGGACGGAACTCAATAGTAAAGTAAATGATTCTTATTTCAACCGTTGCGTATATTAGCTGAAACATGAATCAAGATGCTATGACAGAAAAAAATTGATTGACAGATGACCGTTAATATAAGATTGGCCAAATTTAGGTGTAGCAGCGGACGTATAAATAACTGGCCTGCATAAGATAACAACAAACCCCAACAGCCAGAATGATTTGACATTTTAATATAATTTCCCTACGACTTTAAATCATCGAATTTAAATGAGCATGAAAAGCCCAAACAAAGTACAGCAGCAAACATCCTCTGAGACTTAAACAGAAGAGTTCCCACAGTGAGGCGTTCAGGAACTTTCTGAAATAAAACTACTCATCTAAGAACATGTACCAGGGCTAATCAGCTTTTCTCATTCACTTCACAGAAAATAGACCTTGTTCTATTCTAACTGATGTTCAGGGGCGTCTTTTTAAATGAGAGTCGTACTCAGGGTGTGTTTATGGTCATCTCACAGTAATTTAGTTAGCGATCTATTCTATCTTCAGTTTTAATGGTCCACTAGTTCACCCTAAATTGCTAACTTTAAAATCTCATTTAATTCCTTGACATGTGTTTTAACAGAGTTATAGGCTTATATGGAAACCTTAGCCTGTTCTAAATTTTACACATATAGATTTTATACATAAATATACTTTATACAATAAATAAGACATTTTGCTTTGATGGTTTAATTCTTTTTGCAGGTTTAAGCCCATCTATTTGATATAAGTTTAGATAGGCAACTTTTTTATGATACTAAAACTTCATTCTAGTATTTTCTGCTTTTTTAAAGATGTAGAAAACACACTGTGCTTTAAGGATCAGCTGTTCACTTTTATTTCTATTTATCCATTTACTGATGACCAACATAATGCCAAACAATTGGTTTTAAACTTGTTTTGTCATCAAACTAAATCACTGACAACAATTGGGCAAGTCTTTAACAGACACTATTACCTCAACAGTTCAGTCTCAATCTAGTTCAACCAGGTTCCTCCCATAGAAATGAGGGCTGGTCATATTCTTTGTAAGATATGTTTATAATGTGAGCAATTTAGGAGCTCAAATAAACCTGCAGCTGACCTTTGACCTCTTGTAGTACATTTCCCTTATCTTCTATATTTCTTAAATAGACTGAACCATATGCAGAGACTACAGCTGTGCCATATATCTAACCTAAAACAGAAAGTTCCAACATTTCTTCTTCGATTGATTTATTGAGTTTTTGGAGCACATCATAGAAACGGAAAGAAAGAGAAACATGTGCTTCATATATCATCTTATAACTGGTGGAGTTTCAAAGATCTTATATAACATCCACTAAATGTCATCATTTGTTTCTATGCTTGACTTCCCGGCACACCCTAACATAAGATTAGAATTAGCTTAGCACCAGGAAAGTACGTCATATATTCCAATAAATACCTTCTGATTTCTACAGTAGTGCATTCCTGTTTGTATTTGTATTTTGCTTAATTTTAACTTAATACTTTTTTGCCCTGTAAGCTGCTGGGAACCTTAATTTCCGGAGGGAGTCTTCCCAAGGGATCAATAAAGTACTGTCTAAGTCCAAGTCTCTTATATATAATCTCCAAGCAACAGTTTCATGAACTTATTGCTGAAACCTCTTTCAATCAGGCTCTCTTTGCTTTTTCTGACTCTTTCCCACACAAAAAGTTGAAAAAGTTGAAGTTGAATCCTAGTTTAAAGGCTAATCTATGATAAAATTGTGACTGTGTGGGAGCTCTTACCACAGATATGCCGTAGTGTATGTGTGCGAGTATGACAGCGGCGGTCCACAGATAAAGCAGCAGCGTCTCATTGGTGACGACCCCTGTGACAACTGAGCCCACAACCAAGGACATTGGCAGCAGCAGCCAGGTCAGAGGCTGGCAGCGTGTGTTACTCATCTGACACACGATCAGCTTGCACTGAAGCAGAAATGCAAAAACATGAATAAAAACAGCTGAATATAATAGTTTGGTGAAGTGGGAAAAACAAAATAGGTGAGGTACTCACAGTGACATTGGCAAAAGCTGTTCCCACCATGAGGTAGTAAATCCTGGGCTGCAGCTCGAGGATATTGGACGGAGAGAAGACAACCCAGATGGTGGACAAGACGAAGAGGAGGACAGGAGAAAGGAAAGGCAGGAAGGCTTCATACAGGCTGCTGTGCTTCAGAGTGTTGTTCCTGTAAGCCCTAGAAAATAAGGTAAAACTTTCTCAGCACTGAGACCCGTTTGACTTTTTCACATTGTAACATTAAACCCAGAACATTTAAGGTGCTGTGTGGAAATCTTACTTTAGAGACAAACACAAAATAGAACATAAGTGTGAAGCAAAAGGTTTTTCGGTGGCTTTATTTATATATATATATATAAATAACAGTTGAAAAGTGTCCAGAGTCAATGCTTTCTGATGCAGTTCAGTAGTAAGCCTTTAGGGGGCGTGCTTTTACCACATTTGGAGACAGAGACATTTCTGATCAATCTTTGAAAAATAGCTCAAGATAAGCGCAGATGGAGAGAATATTTAATATGGATTTTAATTTGGTTTAATGTCTGTCAAATTGTTTCTGTATTTGGCCACTTCAGCATCATGAATCCTTTAAATTAACTTTAGATTTTATCATTTCAGTTACAAAGAGCAAACTGCTGTGGAATTTTAACCTAACTACCATTTATTTGCAGTTTTGGCTACTTTGGACACTGTAAAGGAAGATGTACTTCTACTTTATGACATAATGTCTCTGAAGTGCGGGATAAACTGTCCCTGGTTGGAGTTAAAGTTTTCATGTGTCTGGGCATACATACTGAGCAACATCAGATGTGCATGCTAAGGCCTGTTTACAACAAGTTAAAAATCTGGACTCAAAATGTCCCATAATGCACCGTGACAGGTAATGTGCATCCATGGCGACTAGACGAGCAGATATATCCCAGAATGCTTTGCAAGAGCTGAGAATGAACAAAGATGGGACCGGCACAGAGTGGGAAGGCAGAGTCACGTGACCAAAGCGAAGCTGACAGTAGCAGAATCTGTCTGAATGGTCAGTTAACTTTTTTTTTCCTTTCACTTTTTAAAGCACTAATGGCTCTTTTTTTTTGGACAGTAGGCTGACAGGAAAGGGGTTATGAGGAAGGGGGAGAGATATGCGGCAAAGGACCACAGGTCGGATCTGAACCCGGGTCTGCCGCGTCAAGGACTAAGTCCTCTGTACATAGTGCATGCGCGCGAACTGTCACCAAAGCACGTCCCGATAGTTAACTAAATTCACTATGAAGTCCACTGTAAAGTCCCCACTCTATATAGTGATTGAGGGGTTAGGGGACACAGGAGACCTCTGCTGCTAATGGCTAGTCTGTCCCAATTCACGGCTGATCACTTCCAGCCTTTGTTTTTTTTGGAGGTCTTCCAAGGACCCGGTCTATGTAGCCTGGGTCCTTTAAAGGCTGCATTCCCTGAATTGGGTCACAGTAGGGGACAGGAGGAGCAGAAGGGGAGAGAAATAAAAGAAATAAGCATCATCCAATGATGGAGCAAGCACTGCAGCTTCAGGCAGCCTGCCCTGCATGATCACAGCAGACAGAGATAGAAAGTGGAAGGCGGACAGAGGGATCCACTCACTCAAGACAGAGTTTGATGCTTTTTTGTGTTGTCGCCAAAGTCTCCATTGACATAGAAAACAGTCACTACATTTGGCTCTATGTGATTTTCTAAAGTCAAGCAACTAGAGACATCTGAAAAGTTGCTAAATATAGCAACAAAAGCACTAAGTGGGCAACACTGTTGTGCTGCTTAAGGCTGCTAGAAATCTTTGAGGAACCAGTGAGGTTTCATCTCTTGTTCCCTAAGTGTTTTCCCCGTACAAATTTACCATATGACTTTTTAGAAATTCCTTCTGATTATTATTTTAAACAAAAGACCAACTGATATATTACTTAAATCAAGTCTGATTTATTTTCTGAGCAAAATGTGAATGTGCAACATGTTTCTCTGTAACTAATTTCAATAAGAACAGAAATGCATAATACTCACTTCCAGACGTTATAGAGGCTCATGGGTAATGTCACAGCAAAAGAACAGGCTGGAAATAAACAGAACGCTTATTAAAATCCGCCAAGGGAAGAACATAAACTCATTTTAGAGAACAAACACAACTCACATATGATCATAAAGGTAAAAGTGAAGATCACTGGCTGGTACCAGGTTTCCACTCCCACTACAGCAGTGACCAAGTAAACAAGCGAGATGGTCTAGAAGGATACAGGACAAAAGGACAAAAAGGGTTAATAAGGCAACCTACTGAAACCACGATGCCCCTGCAGGTGTCATTCTCCATGGGTCCTCACCACTTGGCTCATGTCGTATCCCCAGGGCAAAAACAAGATGCCCGTGTTGTATTTCTCCCAGTGGGACAGGATGAAGGAGAACAGCACCACCCACAGGATGTAGTAGAGCACACCTACGCTCACGCCACTTTCCCCACGCCCAAATATGGAGTACACCGTGGCGACAAAGAAGATGCAGGCCCAGCTGTCGAGCCCATGGTCGAAGAGCTCCCCTAGTGGTGTTGAGGAATTGGTGCGACGAGCCTGCTTGCCATCAACACCATCTGGAACAAGCAGACATTCATTTATATGTTTACAGCTGTAGTTATAGAGACTAATAGTACAAAATGACATATCTTATACCTCAACTCAGATTCCTACATCACCACCTATGAAACTGCACACAATTTTATTTACTCCGATTCCTGCAGCAGACTTAAAAATAGAATTCCCATTAATCCAAAAGCTACCGTAAGAGATTACTCTGCAAAGTCTTTGTAAAAATGTAATTCAAAAGGCTTAAATCAGCAGTGAAACAGCATGCTTAAAAAATACAATCGGCAGCACACAGGCTCGGGTATCATCTCAGATATTGTGTGTTCTGATTTCTGACTCCAAATGCTTTGTTCACACGTGCAGCTCATCATCCAGCTGCTGCTCAGTGGGACGCCCAAAGATGATGAAGGTAACAGAGGTCAGGGGAGCTGCTCGGGGAACACAGTCCAATAAAATGAGAAAATCTAAGAACGAGGCGGTGAAGCCTGGGATTAAGAAGCAGACGTTTACAGAGATGTTTTAATAACAGAAAAAATGAGGATTCCTGTAATTATAACAGCAAGAGTGAACTTCCTATTTCTTTATCTTGATGTTTGTTGCAGGACTTAGATCTTTAATGCTGGATTTCATTTCATTTTGAGGCATTTACTCAATTACAAGGATTTTTTTTTGCATAACTGTATAGTAGTAAAACCAATAATACACAAATAATAACTAAAGGAAATGACTGCCCAAGTTTTTTCATATGCTTGATTTCCTCTAATCCAAATGACATGTAAAATTTAAACCCACTGAACTGATTGTATATTAAATGTCCTTTAGGCGGCAGCTCCGAAACCATCTGCTTTCTCCAAAACCAGTTCTAGTGTGATTTTTGGATAATCAAGCTGTTTGCTTTGACACGAAGTTAAAGGAATTTGAGGCAATGCACCTTCTTCACTATTAAGCTTTGTTAACTGTACCAAAGTGGTACTGGTACAGCTCCTAAAGACCTCTTAAAGACCTTCTATGACTCTGTTGTGGCATCAGTCATATTTCATGGAGCCGTCTGTTGGAGCAGTGATTTGTAGCTGAGAGAAAGCAGCTGGATAAACTCAACAGGAAGGCCAGATCTGTGACTGGATGCCCTCTGGACTCAGGAGGTGCAGAAACAAAGGATTCTAACTATATTAACATCTTTGTTGGATAATGTGTCCCACCCCATGCATGAAGCTGTTGCCGAGATGGAAAGCTGCTTTAGTGACAGACTGCTGCACCTTAAATGCACCAGGGAGCGTTATCACAGATCCTTCCTCCCAGCAGCTGGAAGACTTTATAACCATCACAGTTCCCAACAACCTCAATAAGTTGTTACATTCATGCTGATGTTTGCAGTTTCTGTATTAGTCAGTTAAATAACTTGCTGCTGTCATTTTTTTGCATATATCTGCTATTTTTCTTATATTGATTACTGTAAAAATGTCCACAGCTGTATATTGCTTATTTATTGCCCAGATGCACAGTATTTGTATTGTAAAAACCCTGAACAGTACAATTTTGTTTATTTTCTTAACTCTTATCACTAATTCTGTTATTTTTATGCAGTTTTCTAAGGTCCACATTTGTATGAACACTTTTGCTATAGTCTGTTGCTGCTGTAAACACCACAATTTCTCCATTGTGGGACAATAAAGGGATTTTCTATTCTATTCTTTTAAGAAAAATGGCAAAGCGTGGTACTACCACCACCAGGCTTAAAGACAGGTGTGGTACTCTAGAAGCCTCGCCTTAAATTCTCCCTGGTTTTTTATTTGATTGATGCCAAATAAATCAATTATTGTGCAATCTGACCATACTTTTTCCTTCAGGCCAATAGCCTGAAGATATGTCCAGCTGTGAATTCCAGTCATGCTTTAAAGAGTTTGCTTTAGAATAATATTCTTTCATGGTCTGGTATCAGTCAATCCACTACTAAAATGACTTTCATAAAGTCATTGACACAAGTGAAGATCTGCAAACTTTAGCACTAATGCTTCCTGAACAAACAGAAACCTGATATTAGCAGGGATTTGTATACATTTAACCCTGTATGTAAAATTCTGACCCTGCTAAGGTTAGGGTTAAATCCCAAACTAAGTTCAACATAATCTAATACTTTAAACAGTGTTCCCACACTTTGGTTACCAACTAATACAACAAATAACCTTTCAAGGACTTTACAGGACCAAGTTCTTCAAATGCAAAACCCACGTGTGGAGGCATTTACCCACTGCTACTACTGAATATGTTAATAAATGGTTTTAGAATGATGGAATTCAACAGAATTGCTTAGAAGTTGTTGGATCAGAATCAATGAGAGAAAGTGGGTTGAATGTAAAGCCTACATTCATCTCCAGAACACAGAGACATGTCTATGATGGTGAGATCAGGCTTTGTTGAAGCTCTGCAGCAAATGTGCTCGAAAATGGTTTATTTACCAAAGCCTGGTAAAACCTTTAAATGCTCATGAAGGCCATCTAGTTGTGAATTAATAAATATTTGACAGCAAAAGATTGACAACAGATAGACATAGAAATGATGGACCTGGAGATAATTGCCTATTTTTTAGGATCCTTTGACAGAAGATTAGCTCAGCCATATCTCAAGATATCTGAAAAAATACCATTTGACTGACTCAAACTGAATTGGAATTAACCAGCTCACTAATCCATGTCCTGCTAGACACACGGCAACTACACTGACCAGAAAACACCAGAATGCAGCGTTGAAAAATAAAACGCAGGCAGAGGTCATTTTCCATCTAAATTCTTAATATATCCATTTAAAATCTAAAATATGAGACTCATGCTCATGATGATTGGATGCATCTCACTGAGCGGATATTTACTGACTGCTATGCGTCACACTCAGGCTTTCAAACTGACAGCAGCTTCACATGTGACCCGTTCCCAAGTGTCTGAACCCCCCACCGTCTGCACTGCTGGGTGGGACGGAGAAATAATAAACTGGCGACCAAACTGATTTTCTTAGGAGAGTGAGAGGGGGTGGGAGTAAGAAGGAGGGAAAAAAACAAGAGGGCTGGACTCACCAAGTGTGTAGGCTAAGAAGTTGAAGATCCCAGCTGCCACCCACACCCTGCTAGGCACATGCTGGTTTCCTGCAGCTGAGAAACAAGTCATGTTAGTACAAAACACAAAGACATACAATCTGAGACCCACCAACATATAAAACCACTTTATGCTTTTCTTATTTGGTACAAATCCATCCAAATAGTGAGGTTATGTGTGGACAGGGTGTCCTTACAGAGGTCAGACTCATGAGCTTGTAAGGCAACGTGTGCTAAACATCTGTGTCAAGATGACACAACAGACTGATACACAATGCAGATTACTGTATTAGCCTTTGCTTCCTCATAACAGACACACATTAACAAAACAACACTGATAAATGTCCTGTGTGTGCGTGGAGGATTTAATAAGTCAACAATTATCCTGAGCAATCAAAGTCAATCTTGTTTCCATAAGAGACGGACCTTGCCCTGTATAAACAAAGAAGGAGCTTCTCTAACATTAGCCGCCATCTACGGTGTTTAAAGGCAAAATACACACAGTGGTCGTTTATGGTTGGGAGGAATACAGCGATGAACCTACAAGAGGCAGTGAAGTCAAAGTCCCAGAAGGCCAACATCAAGAAGTTCAACACGAGGAACATGAAACCCGTAAATGTGATGAGGTTCGGAGCCAGCCATGTTGGTAAAAACTGTTGGTAGAGAAAAGGAGGTGAAATATAGCAGATGTCTTTAATTCACACAATCTGAATCCATTTATTATCCATTAAATTTCTCTTCATCTACTGCAGTATGAATCTTCACATTCCTTACTACCACACCACAAATATAGATGATTAAGAATGAATAAAGATGATATTTATTCTTTCATTTGGATCATTTTGGGTCAGGTTATGTATTTCTTCACTATAGTTTCCCTGCATTGTTTGCTGGATACCTAAAATCCTTCCCCCTACATCTACAGGTGGTGCAGACGTCATAAGGTGAAGAATTGATTGCTAAAGCTTTGAAAGTTTTCACAAAGTTTAACAAAACTATTCCTGATACTACACCAAGAAGCCATGTGAGCCGTTTATGTGGAAAGACAATGAATAGTGGGATATTTTTTTCACAAAATGCAATGCTCCAAAGAAAGTAAAAAGGAATTAGTAAAAACTTTCCACTTGCTACAACAGATAAAATGCCTCAAATAAAGATGATTTAAAAAAAAAAATGGATTATAAACTCTGTATTACAACCCAAACCTGAATGGTCTGTGCTGAGGGACACAGTGATTCCGGTAAAGCAACAGTACCCACAAGAAGTGACTTTAAAATGTTTTCATGTCACCAAAGGAGTTTATTTACACCTGCCACTGTTTACCTCATGATCCAGACGGAGAATGGCTTTTTTGCGATAGTTTAAGTCCAAACAGACTCTGGTGCGGTTTCCCTCTAACCTCGATATGATCCGACTACATAAAGTACTATTTACATGCTAATTGAACCCAATGAAGAAAAAAAACAGAAAAAAAAACACAAAGCCCACTTTTGGTCCAGAATAAATAATTGTGGTCCATTTTAAGTGGACCAAATGTCCCAGGTCACTGTTTTCCGACTTTTAGCTTGTTAGATATTATACTAAGTACAGCTTTAACAGCTTTAATTTTAGTTTTGAGCTTTTATTTGTCATTTTATTCTATAATCTTTATATTTCATTTAAACTTCATTGGTAATAAAGAACCTCTTTAACATCTCTTTATTTCCAGCATTACTCCACCTCAGTGACACCCGCTGTAAACCTTGGAGCTGTTATCCAGCTATCTGAGGAGCTTTTGACAATAATCGGACTGCATTTAGATATCACTGTATCAGAGTTGTTTATTTTTTGTAACCATAATCACAAGGATAAAAAGATGTAGGTGGCAGAATATGTTTAAAAAATAAAGGCCTACATAGAGCAACAGAATAAGTTTTTTTATTACTGGTTACTCCAGTGATGCACTACATACACTGGCTATCAGTAGAGGCCAGGGTTAATTTTAAAATCTTAATGTTTGTTTTTAAAATCAATTTATAGACTTGCACCTTCCTATTTATGTGAATTGAAAAAAAAAAAATAAAAAAATTTTAAAAAAAAGGAGTTTTCAGTGGCTGATCCTCAGCTCTGAAACACTCTTGAGTTGGGAGCCATCACTGACCTGACACTGTTTAAAGTTAGGTTCAAAATGTACCAGTTTAGATCTGTTTTTGACTGATAAGTGAACATGTGAAATGCATTATTTTTTCTATTTATTGTGTTGAAACTGTTTTTATTGCACTTATGGAAAGCAGTTTGGTTCAGCAGGCGCTGTTGTAAAGCACTATATAAATAAAGGTTGATTGATTAAATCCAATCTGCAAACAAATTTCTAAGACACTCTCGAATATAAAAAATAGTCTCCAACTGTAAGCGTGTAGCTGGAGAATGGAAACTTCATGAATGATGGAGCACTCAAACAGACAAGAGACGCTTCTAAACAGCTCTCTCTCTCTCTCTCTTACCTTCACTAAAAAGTTCCAGAAAGGATGCATAACATAGACAGACAGGGGGTTCGTGTCCACGGCGCTGTACTGTAAAAACAAACAAAACACATGATTTTTACACATAAATCCAGTTTTCTACACCCATCTATGTTTGTGTTCATTTCATTTCATGTGCCGTGCCATGCCGTCATTTAGGGAGCCTTGAGATCAAAACAAACCCGACTCCAGTGTCTGTAACCTTATCTAGGGATAGCAAACATGAGATCCAGTTTAGCAGGAGTGTATGGCTGCTATCTAAAGTACATGCTGTCCTCTGTTTAGTGTGACATTTTGCTGTAACCTGTGCCTTACCTGGTCATTTTTTATCTATCTCTTAATCTGTCTCAGACTTATTTTCACTTTCATTAAAGGGAATACATTATAGCCATTTAAGTACGTTAAGGAAACACTGTGTGTGGGTCGGTAAGTAGAGGAGAAAGGGGTACTACAGCAGGCCACCAATGAAACAGATTCATGTTAGTACACAGCTTTATCACGCAACTACTTGAATATGGAGAGAGATGAGCACATGGGACTCATTTGAGCTGCGAGGTAGTTAAAAGCACCTTATTATGGCCTATAGGGATAAATAAGAAAATAAGTGCTGTTAAGAGACAGTGTTACTATCTTTGCCTATCGGCGAGTTAAAATCATTGTGTTACCCCTTATCACACTGTGAGAATCTCTCACTAGCCTAGCTATCATCACATATGCAAACAAAGATCACACCTTGCACGCTTGTCTTGCTAATAAAAAGGAAGAAACTAAAGAGGACATTTGCAAACATTTTCACACCACACTTTATCGCTATGTTTTGGTGAATTCTTGGCACAAAAAGGCTTTAATAATAATCAGATGTTGAGTCTGAAGGAGTTAAAAGAGAATGGGTGATTTCACCAGAAGTAGCAACCCATCAGCAGAAGAAGCCAGACTGAGGATGTTGCGCATAACAGGGATTGGAAAGTGCTGTACCAAAGCTTTTAAAAGCTGTGGTTTTAAAAACAAATGAGGTTTTCCACTGTATCATTGCCCCTGGTTAACTCGTTATAAGAAATGTTGAAAAAAAGTTGGAGTGGCTGCCACCTGTCACTACAGCTGGTTAAAGGTAGGCTACTACATTTACAATAAACCCAAAATTAGCAGTTTAGAAATGACTGTTAGCAAATAAAGATGCTGTAAAGTAAAGACTGATTTAAAACTATTACCTAACCTATAATCAGCTGTCTAAATCAACTAGGAGCAAATAGCCCTATCAATTAACCAGCGAGTACAAGGCTAATACACCTTTGTCACCCTCTGAGAGCATTGCATGTTTCAGAAACTAAAACTTAAGACATTTTGCTCAGCTTTTGGAATAAATATCTTAACTTGAAAACCTACATGAGTTAAGACAAAGTGCTTAGGTAAGTCAAGGCCATAGCTTTAACTATATACAACTTAAGCAAATTATACATAACTTTGTCAAATCAAACTGATGTTTTGGCCTTTGGCTCAGGTAAACCACTGTTACGACGAAGTTTCCAAAGC